TATAGACAGGAACAAATATAAACAAATTGACCTCAGGTTATTCTAATGAAAACCGAAAAATGTTCTCAGTACACCTCGTTAAGCAAGCTAAATTGTTTTTCCTCTCTCTTTCTCTCTCTCTCTCTCTCTCTCTCTCTCTCTCTCTCTCTCTCTCTGTTCGGAGTGGTGTGTGTGAGTGTGTATTTGCGCGCGCGTGTGTGTGTGTTTGTGTGTGTGTATGAAACATTCCTACTACTACGAATTACCTGATTGGCGTGCTATTATTTGAGAAGATGTTAATTTAGATTGTAGAGATTTCACGTTAATTCTGCCAGGTGAGTCCGCCCCCATCCAGCCATGAACCTTTTCTAAAAACTTTTCATTGTTTTCTTCCCATTGCAGACTCCAACTGTTTCCTCGTTTGCTGTCCGAGGAGTAAATAGTCATTAGTGTTGTTTTCATTCCTCTCCATTACCGAAGGACATTAAAACCAGTTCTCGCAAACTGAAATTAAATCATTTTGCATGACCTTCATCGATTATGATATCGATTATCTGCTAAAATCTCACGATACTTTTATCGAACGTTTCTCATTGAAACGTCAAATCCTAAAAAATCTAGTGTGCGCTGGATAATGAAAAAAGCAAAAGGCAAAACAAAAAAAAAAGTAATTGTTTTGTCCTTGACTGACCGGTGAAAATAAAACCTGTGTTTAGTTTAGCGTTGCGTGTGGTGCTCCTGTTTATTAGCTTTGTACCTGGATTTAAGTTATTCGGATAAATGTTTAAATAACTTTTATTGTTCGACAATCTGAACAGGATTATCAGTCCTGTCAGTCAATTATTTTGAGAGTGTGTACTTAAGATTACATATTTGTGTTTCACTGTACATCTGACAAAAAAGGTAATCGTAGTTAAACACTTAGCAACATCAAAATACGCTAGAGTTGCTTCAGCCTCTTAAGTTTTGCTGAAGCTAAAAACTAAACAAAAGTTTTAAAATACTGTTATGAATAATCAAGAGTGGTCTCCCCTTGTTTCGTTACTCTCTTCTTTGAGAGAGCTATTTCTGTTTACTGGGACTATATAAGGACACTATATGCGAACCTTGTATTCTCAGTTGAATAAAGCTTTCTTAAAGCCTACAACTGCGTACTTTTATCATTACATATACCTTCCTCAATGCAATCTATGACAATGCTACTGAGATGAATTGAACTGTATCATTTGTACAAAGTCTTTGTTGACAATAACGTTTCAAAATAATTAGAAAACTTCATTTTCCGTTTGCGTTTTTTTTTAAACATTAGCTACTAAATATATCTATATAAGTCTTATATGCGAAAATAGTTTATAGGCTCCATCCCAGAAAAAAAAGTAGAAGCAAAAAAAAAAAAAAATCGAAGCAAAAGAAATGTTTACATAGAATAATAGACCTAAAGAAATATTTATTTTATGTAGGTACCTACAAAAATTCAATAAAAAAGAAGATACATGATAAAAAAACAACATAATAGAAATAAATTTTTATCATCAAAATCTTTGTTTTATTAATAAGAGAAAACATCAAAGGATTTTTAATGTACTATTTTATCCTTTACAGAGCCTTAGAGATTTTGGTTAAAAATTTTGTTTTTCTTGCGTTAACGTGGGACTATAGATTTATACAGAAAATTTGAGCATCTTTTTTGCGGTGGAAAACACCTTGATTTGTAAATTCTTGCAAAATTCAGTCAATGGATTTTAGTGAAACGTTCAGGATCTAAAAATGAAAATAACTTCACGGCTTATACCTTATTATGGTAACATTAGATATTAAGGTAGGATTAAGATAAGATAAATATATGTCCAGCTTTAGCGCCATGTTACGGAAATTGATTAACAAATGCGTCCAGTAGAATCTACTAGGTCAAGTGGTGACTAAGTGAAAACACCAAAAGAGCTTTATTACTTTTTGGTTGAAAGTGTTAACCCGTACATATTTGTCTGGATGATTTAAGCTGACTCCTGCTTTAGCTAATCGGAGCTCAGTGCCTTATACATAAAACAATGCGTATATTCAGGTAAAAGTAAAATAAAATTTCTCCTTGATAATAACTAAAAGTAGAGCTAAAAGCGCTTGAAAAACATTTGGATAATTATTATGTGATTTATATCCGGAATAGAAAAAAAAATATACGAACGCATGAGAATTTATTTAAAAACCTCAACCACTACTTCTTGTGGGTCTTTTTTCAACGAAACTTGTATAGAAGAGGGGTTGCTGCCCAAAATACAGAATTTTTAAATGATAGATAGATAGATAGATAGATAGATAGATAGATAGATAGATAATGAACAGGCTGAGATAGATAGATAATGAACAGGCTGAGATAGATAGATAGATAGATAGATAGATAGATAGATAGATAGATAATGAACAGGCTGAGATAGATAGATAATGAACAGGCTGAGATAGATAGATAGATAGATAGATAGATAGATAGATAGATAATGAACAGGCTGAGATAGATAGATAATGA